GTGATTGGCATAGTTCAGCTATGTTGACCATTGTTTTCTAAATTTTTACTCAAGTGTTGAATATTAAATAAACGGTGACTACAATTTCGAGGATCAACTGAATCCGTAAATTTAGATCATTGACAATCAATATAGATAGTGATCTAAAGGCAACGCACTTGTTGAGGTCTCGGGTTCTATCCCATTAAACTATTGCAACAAGATCTGAAGATACTTGGTCCGATTCCTGGCAGGGTCGTGCTTGTGCATAGTTTAGGAGTAGTTCCACCACATACATTGCTCCCAAGTTTCCAATGATTTCCCGGCTAAAGTCAGTCCATAATAAAACTTCAGTCAAGTCAAAAAATCTCATACTGATTATTTTGTTTCTGAGTTTTCACCATCGATCTGTGAAACGGGAGTTTTTGTAACTAAGTCTGTTATATAATATAGGTCAATCTATATGTAGATAGTGGTGCTCTTTGCCTGTCGTTAGTTTTTCATTGGTAAATATCTCAATGATAAACACCTAGCACTTCTGTTGTTGGTCACCTACTTTTTTATTGAAGACCGCTTGTCTAATTTTGTACACAAATAAAGCCTTCTCGTTAAGAATTTTCAGGAATGACTACTTTTGATGACATATTTGGAACTATAAGTAGTTCTCACGTAGATGATTTTGGAGTTACTTTAGTCGCCGATGAAACTTTTCTATGTAGCATTTTGCAAAATGAAGAAGATCATAGCTATCACATTTACTGATGGGATATTTCCCATGTGTGCTAATGTTAATAGTCTTGGTATTTATTGCTTTGTTCACCGAAGATTTTGGGAACATCCTTTAATTAATATAACGATTAATAATAATTGATTCATTGAAATCCACTGTACACACTTTAAACTAATTACCTTTATATACTTTGATAAGAGTTTTCAATCCCTCAAAATATTTCTAAACGGCTTAGCATTTATATCTTCTCTAGAGAAGTTCTAACCATTCCTTTTACATAATACAATATCTCCAAGAAAGTGAGTTACAAAGCAAATATCCAGTTTTATATTTTTGGGGGTCGTGCTATGGGAGTTGAAAATGTTGATTCTAAGAAATCGGTACAGGATTCTAAGGAAATGAATTGAACACTGGTGACCTCCAGATTGGATTTCTTTAGACCATCATACTGTCTTCTAGATTAGACATTCTGGACTGGTTTTTCAGGAATATCGTTTAGATACTTACTTACGCCTGTTACTCCTCATGAAGGAGCATAGACCGCTTACCAGCATTCTCCATCCAACCCTGTCCTGGCCAGTCATTTCCATCTCTTTCCAGTTGTTATTCATCCTTTTCATATCTGCTTCTATTTCCCAACGTAATGTGTCCTTTGGCCTTCCTCTTTTCCGCTTCCCTTCTGGATTCCAAGTTAGGGCTTGCCTCGTGATGCAGTTTGGTGATTTGCGTAATGTATGTCCTATCCATTTCCATCGTCTTTTACTAATTGCTTGTTCAGCTGGAAGCTGGTTTGTTCTCTCCCACAAAAGGCTGTTGATGATGGTATCCGGCCAATGGATGTTGAGTATCTTGCGAAGACAGCTATTTATAAATACTTGTACTTTCTTGATGGTGGTTGTTGTAGTTCTCCAATTTTCAGCTCCATACAGTAGAACTGCCTTGACGTTCGTATTGAAGATTCTCACTTTGATATTGGTTGAAAGTTGTTTTGAGTTCCATATGTTCTTTAATTGTAGGAATGCGGTCCTTGCTTTGTCAATCCTTGCCTTTACGTCTGCATCTGAGTCTCCTTGTTTATCGATGATGCTTCCCAGGTATGTGAAGGATTCTACATCTTCCCGAGTTTCACCATCAAGAGTGATTGGATTGATGTTCTCCGCTTCGAATTTGAGGACCTTGGTTTTCCTCTTGTGTATGTTGAGGCCTACTGATGCAGAGACTGCTGCTACACTGGCTGTCTTTATCTGCATTTGTTCATGTGTACGCGATAGGAGTGCTAGGTCATCTGCGAAGTCCAAATTGTCTAATTGGTTCTAAGCTGTCCATTGTATTCCGTGTTTCCTTTCACATGTCAAGGTCCTCATAATCCAGTCGACCACCAGAAGAAAAAGGAAGGGAGAGAGTAGACAGCCTTGTCTGACTCCAGTCCTTACTTGGAATGCATCTGTCAGCTGTCCTCCATGCACCACCTTGCATTGTAGTACGTCGTATGAGTTCCGGATAATATTGACAATCTTCTCAGGAACTCCGTAGTGTCGGAGAAGTTTCCACAACTTCCTCCTATCTACACTGTCAAATGCCTTTTCATAATCAATGAAGTTGATGTATAGTGACGAGTTCCACTCAACTGATTGTTCGACGATGATCCGTAGTGTTGCAATTTGGTCTGTACACGACCGATCCTTACGGAATTCAGCTTGTTGATCTCGAAGTTGGGCGTCTACTGCATCTTTCATCCGGTTCAGAACACTCTGTTGAAGACTTTCCCTGGTATTGACAGTAGTGTAATGCCTCTGAAGTTTTCACATTTGCTCAGATCTCTTTTCTTTGGAATCTTGATGAGGTGCCCTTCTTTCCGGTCCATCGGCACTTGTTCCTCCTCTCAAATCTTTTTGAATAGATGGTAAAGCATGTTTGTAGTTGCTTCGATGTCTGACTTCAATGCTTCATCTGGTATGTTGTCAGGTCCCGCTGCTTTCCCGTTCTTGATCGTTTAGATACATAGACAGTATCATGGCATTTGTACATTCCATGACTGTTACATAAAGATTTGACACTTTCACCTAAATTCAAGCCAAACATTAGGCAGGTTCTGAGGAACACTATGAGCTCCGATTACTGGTGTTCCGAGTTAGCCGTATTAAAGATGAATATTACGGATTTTTTCGTCATTGCATATAGTATAACTCATGTGTAGTTGCCTGGCGACCCTGTTGCACAGTTATCCAACTTAGTCGGTGTTAGTTTCGCACTGATCACCAGAGTTGCAATAAAATTGTTCGACTAATGGTCGTCGACTGTGTTACTTGGACTAAAGGTTCAATCAGGTCATGAAGAAGCTTCTATACGAAACGATATTTTTTACGCTTAGTGAACGGCCTGACAAATTACAGACAATGCTATTTCAGTAACTCCAACAAACTACCACCAACTCTTCCCCGTAACTGGAGATCTAGACCCACATCAGATATGTAAACAGAATAAGTGGTTGAATAGTGAGTAAAGACTTGTTTTGGTTCCAATTGTTTATAACTGCACAAATCACATGCCTGTATATGAACTTCTGATACATCTGTTGGTGATATGTTTATTGCTTTCTAATAGAGTCCACATACCTCTATTTTCTTCACTTTAGAATATAAATGTAAACTAAAATATTTAAAAAAACATTCGGTAGTTTATGAAGATTTAGTCCTTTTGAAGGTAAAATTTCATCACTGACTTATGATAGAACGGAATGATTGTAAACAAGAAAATACTAGACTATTCTTTTGTCATAGTTTAGGTGGAACTTCTTAGTAGTGTCTATCCACGAATCCACTACCTTTTAGTGGTACAGAAAATACGAAATTCCCTTACACTACTGAAATACATCACGATTGGCAACGGATAATCAGGAACAGTAGCCTAGAAAGGTATTGCATTAGATCAGTTAAGTCAATAAAATGACGATGGGAATCTATCCCGAATTGGTTGACATTTATTTATTTGAACATATAGATATTGGTACAAGAAAGCACCATATACATATGCGCCACACGAATCTCATTTCATTTGTGTGAAGGCTGTGATACTGCCCGGGTGCCCAAACCGAAGAAGGTCGTTTTCTCAGGAGGCCACACCCAAAGCCTTGGACCTAAAGGTTTAATCCACAATGGAGTGGAGCATCGTAAGGAGATGCAGTCTCATGATAGCCGGTGACCAACGATTGGTTCATACGCCATTTGTTTCCTCAGGATACTTGAGCCCGTGTGCACCATTGGTTTGGAATGAGAGTTTTTCAACTCCTCTAGGTGGACTCTCCATGTCCACCAACCCGGTTAAAGCTCCGGACATTCTCTTTTCTTCCTCTCAATTTCGTAAAGAACACCCCCGCTACGAGAAGGCAGTGAGTAGGACTTCCCTGATAGAGGCTATATACGCGTGGCCATGTGAGAGCATTTCGAGAGGGAGAGCGGACTCCCTACTCTCGGCCGTACGAGGGCATTTGGAGGCGGTTGACATTAAAAAATATCAATCACTGGTGTATGATTCCATCGCTCGATGTTATCGTTGTTTTGATCATGATACTTGTAGATTATTAGCTGTAATATAGTGCAGGTATCTGACTGTGCGTTGCTGAGGAAATCCCCAATTAGAACGATACAACAGTTCACTTTTTTAGTTTACAGGGGTTTTGCTTTCAGTTAATGATGAAATCCGTCCTGAAATGCTTGTTTATATTTAGGTAATATATCTAACATTTATAGAATATACTGTTTTTATATGTAAACATTTCGAAGAAAATTCAATCACAAATTCTAAGATGGCACACCGGACTAACTAATAAACACACCTAAATGGATCCAATCTCAGACTGTTGGATTTCATTAACTGTATCGACTCGGATTGAATACCACCCACTGTATTTTGTGAACGGACTTGTATTAATCGTGTGAACACATATAGGTTCATACATTCGTACATTCTATCTATGTATTTCTGTCGTCCAAATAAATATTTCATGGTTGAATTGTTCACATCTCTAACTGTTTAATCGATCGAGGTTATTCACAACATTTTGTATATTCAATACGTGTATTGCATCCAGTGAATAATGCTAATTTTCCATTCGTTCAGTGTCTGAGTGCTGCACATAGAGGAAAGAATGGATTGTTCACCTTAACAAAACGATATATATATATAAGATACAAACCACCTGAAAACATTTTAAAGTGTGTTATTACCTAAGTACACACACAACCATACGTCATGAGTTATTATTCCAAAGATAAAAGATCATTAATCCTCGTTAATTTCTTATTCCTTCAGATTTAATATTTTCATTTTTCTCATTGCTTGTAGAAGCCAGTAAGAATTTTAATGCAGCCATCAATTTTTGACCTTCTGTAATATAAAATGAAGAAATAATACAGTGTGACATAATGTTTCATCTTTATATTCAAATTAATTAATTCTTCTATCTAATAAGAATATTGTATTAATCAGTAAATATTTACATCAACTGAAGATGCCTCATTAAATTTGAATTATTTTCAATATATATAGCATTTTGTTTTAAATTTATTAACTATGTTGATTGGATTGGTTGAAGTTAGACATTAACACCGTTGGATGCCGAACAGCTTAATACTCTAGTGGTTAAGCGCTCGCGCGCGAGACTGATAGGGCCTGGGTTCGAATCTCGCCGGGGGGAGGGATCGTGAGTGAGCACTGCTGAGGAGTCCCATACTAAGACGAATCGGCCGTCCAGTGCTTCCAGGTTTTCCATAGTGATCTAGCTTCAACTGCCTCATGATTTCAACTAGTGAAATTAACTATGTTAATTTAATATGTTGTCTGATATTTTATCTGTTAGCGGGAAAAAGAAATAATTGAGTTTATCTAGGTATTTAATTTAGCCGGCTTATTAATCAATAAAAGAAATAAGAATTCACATATTGTTATTTTGTTTCAAGTATTTTCAATTGAAATCAACTTTCAATTCCAAGAAAAAAATTAATTGAATTTTGATTCTGTTTCATCTTAGAGTTTTTAAGCATCCTTTGTATCCTATATATATACCAATTGTGGAATGTGTGCTACTGATGTCGACAGATATGAGTAGTATGTATCATCAATCAAAAGTGAAATGTCTGATGACAGAAAGCGAAGAAGAATGAAGAAAGTGAACGAGAACAAAGAGTGATTGGTATGTGAACGAAAGATCAATGAAATCTGTGATGATTGATTGACATTTTCCAAATGAAATATTTATTGTATGGTCCTCAGATTTTGCTAAGACGTTCTGTAATTTTATATTCAAATACATTCGATTGTCCCTAATTGTATTCTCGTTCACTACATAATCTGTTATTGGTTTTTAACTCTAGTGAACACTAAACATCGAAATACAAGGCTCACTAGATGGGAAATTTGGGTTCTTGTTTTATTCTGGGAATTCTGGACTTTTGGATCCTTTGCTGCGTAATAAGATGTCAAAACCACTGATTTCAAATTATTTCCTTATTTAAATAGTATTAATATCATATTGCCTAATTAATTGTACGGATAAGATTTTATTAATCAATTTTTAAATCTAGTTAAAAAATTATATAATTTGAAATTACACTTCAGATATTTAAAGTTAAATAGTTAGTTAGAAGGAGGCTATGGATCCAGAATCTGCACTCATCATGTAAACGACTGACATTCCTGATTACGTTTTCAATACAGTTCATAAATAAATAAAAATTTTAAGATGTAGTGTAAAAATAGCTTTTACATTAACTTCCGTTTTCCGCATGATGTTAACTTGTAACACATAGATTTCTAAAAACATAATGATGAATAGATAAATACTGATGGGTTTCGTGAGTATTTTTCCTGCAAATGCCCTGGTATGGCCGAGAGCGGGGTGGGTTCGCCCTCCCTCTCGAAATACTCTCACACGGCCGCGCATATACAGCCCCTGTCAGGAAAGTCCTACTCACTGCCTTCTCGTGGCGGGGGTGTTGTTTACGAAAATGAGAGGACGAAAAGCGAATGTCCGGCGCTTTAACCGGATTCCAAACCAATGGTGCACATGGGCACCAGTATCCTGCTGGAACAAACGGTGTATGAACCAATTTTTGGTCACCGGCTACCATGAGACTGCATCTCCTTACGATGCTCCACTGCCTTGTGAGTTGGACCTTTAGGTCAAAGGCTCGGGGAGTGGCCCCCTAAGATAACCACCTGCTTCGGTCTGGGCACCCGGGCAGTATCGCAGCCCACACGCAATTAATGAACTGAACTGTCTATGATCATGGAAACTAATTCTCTTGCTTCGGCGAACATTCGAATGATTCAATTATTATTATTGCTATTTATTATTATTATTATTATTATTATTATTATTATAGTTTACTACGACATTATTCACCCTCTTTTATTCCCACTCTGTTTATACTTATTTTTTCGACTTATACAGCAGCTCATCTATGGTGGAAATTCGACTGTATCTAAACGTTCTCGAGTCACTGTCCGGTTGAAAATTGTATGTTACTACCGAATATGAGTACTGAAGCAGTTTTTCTAAAACCGCGCGCGCCATCCAAACTGGCTGCGTTCAACGTTCGCACACTTATGCAGGTTGGACAACAGATAGAGCTGGCTATGTCTTTGGGAAGTCTTCATATCGATGTTTGCTGTCTATCCGAGACCCGTATTCAAGACTCCGGTGAAGTACTACAAATTCGCTCTCCATCTGTCGCTTCGAAAAGCTTGTTTTACGTGCGCTTATCCGGGGACCCTGTGGCATCTTCGTCTGGTCTTGCTAGCATTGGTGTCGCACTGAGTGCTAGAGCTGGGGCAGCACTAATGGATTGTATCCCCATTAACAGTCGGTTATGTGCTGTTAGATTAGAGAGTTCCATCAAAGTGAGAAGAAATCGTCGTGAGAAACGATGTCTGCGACAATCTTACCTTACTTTTCAGTGGCCAACGAAGTGACCGCCACCAACGGATTAATGTTAGCAAGCTGGTTGCAACTTCTGTTGCAAGTAAGTATCGAACCGAGCTAGCTTCTAGGCTAGCTACCATTCCACCGAAAAGTGTGGATGAGCATTGGTTGCAATTGCATGACGCCATGAAAATGGCGGGTACAGTCAGTTGTGGGTTCGCGAAACGTCCCGCTTATAAGCACTGGGTCTCTGCAGGTTCCTTACAACTCATCGAAGCCCGTCGGTCTACCCCGGGTCACCGTGAGTTTGACCACAAACGAAGGATGTTACGTAAGGAAATTGGGCAAAGCTTGCGTAAGGACCGAGAAGCCTGGTGGTCGGAGCGTGCTAATGAGCTGGAAGCAGCAGCTGCATCTGGTAACTACCGGAAGCTCTTCCAGCTCATCCGAGTCACTGGCAGCAAGAAGTCTGGTGTGAGTGAAACAATCTGCGAGGATGATGGGATGCCAATCACTAACATCCATCGACGTCTTGGACGATGGGCAGAATTTTTCGAAGGGCAGTTCAACTGGCCTGCTGCTCCGGCATCATCGGTCATACTGTCCTTCCCTCCATGGCCGGTGACGACTGATCCACCAAATGAGGCGGAAGTACGCCAGGAACTCCAACTCTTGAAGCGCTACAAATCACCTGGCCCAGATGACTTACCTCCGGCTCTTATTGAAGATGGTGGTGACTTTCTGGTTAAGGAACTGACTGAGTTATTTACAAATGTTTGGCAGTTAGACGGTGTCCCACCATTGTGGAATGAGTTGATAATTGTCCCTATCCTCAAAAAGGGTTCACATCGTCTCTATAACAAATATCGGGAGATATGTCTACTAACGATTGCGTCCAAACTATTGGCTTCCGTCATACTTCGTAGGTTGTTCAAAACCCGAGAAAGATTGACTCGCGAGGAGCAGGCTGGGTTTCGTTCTGGTCGAGGATGTATTGATCATATCTTCACCCTCCGCCAAATGTTAGAACACCGCCATACTTATCAAAGGCCAACAATCGTAGTGTTTCTTGACATCAGGGCTGCCTTCGATTCGTTGGACAGGACTGTTCTCTGGGATTGTCTATTGAAGAAGGGTGTGCCTGAGAAGTTTATTAACATCCTAAAAGCCCTATATAAAAACACCTCAGGCAGAGTGAGGGCATACAACCACCTTTCTCCATTGTTCCATTCGAGCAGTGGGGTTAGGCAGGGTTGCCCAATCTCACCATTCCTCTTCAACTTTGCCATCGATGACATTCTGGAAACAGCTCTGATGAATGTAAGTAATGGTGGTGTGGATCTGTTGCCTGGAGAAAGACTTCTCGACCTTGAGTATGCGGACGATATTGTCTTACTGTGCGATAATGCCCAAGGCATGCAATCCGCACTTAATCAGTTGGCAATCAGTGTCCGTAGGTATGGTATGTGCTTTGCACCTTCGAAGTGCAAAGTACTTCTACAAGACTGGCAGGATTCTAATCCTGTACTCACCCTGGATGGTGAGCAGATAGAAGTAGTCGAGAAGTTCGTGTATCTGGGTAGCTGCATAAGTGCTGGTGGGGGTGTGAGTGATGAGATCAATGCACGTGTAGTGAAAGCCAGAGCGGCTTATGCCAATCTGGGCCATCTTTGGCGCCTTCGTGATGTTAGTCTGGCTGTAAAAGGTCGGATCTACAACGCGTCGGTGAGAGCAGTTTTGCTCTATGCTTGTGAAACCTGGCCTCTCCGAGTTGAGGACGTTAGACGACTCTCTGTGTTCGATCATCGCTGTCTCCGAAGGATTGCTGACATTCAGTGGCAACACCATGTCAGTAATGCAGAGGTTCGGCATCGTGTGTTCGGGCACAGAGATGATAATCAATTGGTGTCACCATCTTGAAACACCGACTTCGGTGGCTTGGACATGTTCTCCGAATGTCGTCCCAGAGAATTCCACGTCGTGCATTATTTGCCGACTCTGGGACTGGTTGGAAAAAGCGGAGAGGTGGTTAATGTATGACATGGTGTCGTGGTATGAAAGAAAGCTGTGGAGGACTAGCCTCTGTTGATCCTTCACGACTCCCAGGCTGTGGTCCGAGAGATAGCGCAACACAGTGGCTAGAGACGTTATCAGATATGGCTCAGAATAGAAGCCAGTGGCGATCCTGCTGTAACCTTCTTTTACTTTCTTCATAAAAAGTGGTTGTATCTTCCTTAACTGAAGGGTTTCTTCTGATTGCACCCTTCTGTTCCCCTGTTATTACTATTATTATTACACTACCTTACACCAATCTCTTCGTTATTGTTTTTTTTTAATATTTTTTTTACGTTCTCCACTTTTATCTTTTTCTTCTTCTTAAATTCTCATTGTTTTGTGTGGCGCAATCCTGTACCAATATATATGTGTTCAAATAAATGAATAAATAAATAAATAAATAATTTCCTGCAAATTCACCATTCTTGTACAATTGATAAATATCGTGAGTACTCTACATGAAACTGTACATTCATAACACTCTATAGTATAACAGATACTCATTGTTCTTGTATTATTAATAACGAGTATCAATTTTCAACTAGACATTGTATTTGATCGGTGTACATTATTTGTTTTGATATAGATTATACGCAAAACTTAACACTGATATTCCAATCTGTCAAGTTTTTAAGTAAAATCTATATCGTTTTAGATATTTGTAAAATAACATTAATCCTGTAACCGAAACTTTACTCTGTTGACGGTCAGCATTTCGAATGTAACTACACTGCTATGTGAATGTTCACACCGGAATAAGTCGCAAATAAGACGTAACGTGGATTCCACTGCTAATTACTACCCAACTCAGTTCAAAAGTTTAGCTATTGTGTGTGTGCGTGCTACTTATATTGATATAAGTAGTATATAACGTGAGTTAAAAGAACGTAATGTCTGGCAGCAGAAGATAGAGAAGATCAAGAAAGGAAGAGCGAAAACACAATGGAATTTGTAAGAAATCGCATGAACAATGAAATGTGAGACAATGGATTGAGGTTTGCAACAGCAACAGTCCGGTTTGATATGATGGAATGATATTTTGCGAATCAACGATTTACTATATGGTTTTTCTATTTTACCAAGTAATTCTGTAATTTGTGCTAAGTGCAATTTGGTTGTCCTCATCCGTGTTCTCCTTTCACTACATTGTGGAATAAACCAAGTATGTGCAGATAAACATGATATAATATATAATGTCTATCTATTAATAGCAACTACCAATTGAGTTATGATAAAAAGTTAATATCGTTGGATGCCGACTCAGTGGCCTAGGGTTTAAACGTTTGAGTACAAGATCGAGTGTCCTAAGTTCGATTACCAGATGCAAGGTCGTGGATTCTCACTGCTGGAGAGTTTATACTAGGGCGAAACGGCCATCCTGTGCTTCCATATGCTCAATGGTTATCTAACTTATGTTCGTAATTTCAATGAAATATTCAATGATGTTTAAGTGATAATTATGTACAGACTTGTCAGTTGTACCAGTTAATTAAAACTGAATTCAGTTGAAGATTGGACAAAATTACAATTAATTAAAATGACAGTAACGATATACAAAAAGGTATAAATTACCTGAAACTCTTTTCATTTCTTCAGTTAAATGACTTAATCTATTCAAATTTTGTTGCATTTGCTGTTTCTCTTTAGCTAATATTTTTTTATGTATATATTGATGCATACTAGTCGGTGGTGGGAAACGAATCAATGCAGGTTTAGGTAAAGCAATAATTTCTAGGAAATAATTTGATAAACCGCCAATAGAACCAGGAATACAACGTTTTGCTTGTAAATTGATATCTTTATATTTTGAACAAATGAATTTTGTTTTCAATTTTGTTGTACTTTTATTTAAATTATCATTCCATAGATACGCTATTGGTGCTTCACTTAATGCTGCTTTTAAATTACGCAACTGGTTTTCTCTATGTCTGATAATTGAATAAGCGATACTTTGACGAGTCTGATTTTTTTCACAAATTGAATATTTCCTTTGTAAAGGATGTTGTATAGAGCGTGCAGTGTCGAGCTTTGAAGGTTTCACTGATTCTTGATCATTAGGATCGTCTTTCCCTTCATTTATTGTTTCAAGCCATGATGAAATATTTGGCTAAAATGGAAATGACAATGAAAATGTTTTTAAAAAACTCAGAATGAGAGAAATTACGGAGTGGAGGTTTTTGTTTTATTAAATTAAACACATTTGATTTTCGAATCAACTTTAACGATTTTAGGTGAGAGTACAAAACAGAACACGTCACAGAACTCGCGAAAACTACAAAGAAATCGGAAGTGATGAAAGTATTTAATCTGGCACTAAGAAGTTTAACAAAATTTCAAATGAGCTTACCAGAGAACATTGTTGAACCAATCACTAGGTAGGCCCACCATCAGCATATATATCAGAAAGCCTGTAATACGCGAGAACTAGTAACTTTAGTGAAATCAGATTTCAAAAATGTTAATAGGTGTTCGACCATCATCTAGCTTCTCTTTGGTCGATGACTGACTTTTGATTAACTCTTGATGACTGAACACTAACTATCGTGAATGTGGATTCAATGGTGAATATTATTTGACTGATAGACCTCAGGTTTCATTGGCGTTCTCAATCAAAATTACCATATTAAATTTAAAATTTACGGGTATTTCTATGCAACTAATCGACAACTGAAGTTTTTGACTCTCACAGATTGCATTTTACAGTTACAAAACACAAAAATGAAATGTACCAATGAGTTGTCAATCAAGGTGTTGGAATTGCGTCTTATTTTGATTTTTCTTGCATCCAAAGTCAATTTCAGCCCAATATACCAATTAGAAAGAGTTCAGCAGATTTTCTGTCAGTCTCTTGATCTCGTTTCTCAGTATTCTTCAATTAGTTGATTGGTTGGTTGATTGATCGGTGTTGTTGTTTGACAGTGACCAGCTGCAGTGTAATTCAATTGAACTGTTCATTGGTATAGGAAGGGATTTGTGGAGATTGTGGGATTTTCAAATTCTGAGATTACGAACTGATCTTAGTTATACCTTAGTGATCTGAAGTTGGAAAGTTCATGAGCGAGATCAAGGGTCTCGGTTCGGCTACAAGATGCGGAGGCGTAAGTGGGAACTGCTGGGAAATTACGCACTAAGATGAAGCGGTCGTCCAGAGAAATTCATATTTTCAGTGGTTATTCAATTAAGACGAGTTTATACTTTGGTACTATTCATTGTCCACCGTTCTGCTTAACACAGAATCTATCTCTATCTAAAGGTAAAACAGCTACGAAATTCGTCTAAGTGAAAAAATACCGAACGTGTTTATCAAAAATATCTCAACGGATAATAATTATAATAAACGTTAACCGGGTAATTATACTATCATCTGGTGTCATACTGATAATCAGTTACGAAAAATGTTTAATTTGATTTTCGTTAAATTATTTAAAAATTCTAATGATACTTTGGATTATTCAATTTTCGAGAGATTTTATATGAAATCTGTAAATACAAACTTTCCAGAAAGCAATAAATCAGTCATGATATTACTTAGAAAATTTTAATTACTAAGTAGTACATTGATTTCAAATACTTATTAAAGGTAATAATAATAACAAATGGGTGGTTTAAATTAGTTTTCTCACCCTAGGTATACTTCGATAATAATGGTAATACGATATGTCAGAACCAGGATTCACAGCCCAGAATATAGACTAGACAATATTTTATTCTACACAATTACAAAAAATTACTTTCAGTGAGTCCAGAGTAGAAACCAATAAAAGGATAAGAAATCACATCTTTAATAGTCCATAGCTCGTAGCCGATTGTCTACACTCAGTAACTAATCATGTTTTACCTTTACCATTATATATCACAAATTCATTCATGAAAACTATATTTTTAGTAGATCATGCTAGATCTTTCTAATAGGTCTTGGGTTCGAATCTCGCGAGGTGGGATCATGGATGTGCACTGTTGAGGAGTCCCACAGTAGGACGAAATGTCTATCCAATACTTCCAGGCTTTCTATGATAGTCTAGTTTCAATTGATTCATGATCTCAACTATTGAAACATTCTTTTTAATCTATCTTCATACTATTAAGATTTGTAATACATTCTATATGATAATTACACTGATTTAAATTAAATGTTTATTTCATATTAACAAAAAAAACCAAACATTCATTTTCAACTTCTAAGGAACATATTTTTTTTTGTTGTTAATAGAAACAAAAACGCTCAAACTGTAAAATGATTTTAAAACTGGTTACAAAGGTAATTCAATTACTTACCAATATTAGTGAAGTGAAGTTATGAAAAAAGTGAATTAATTGATTATAATCTTGTTAGAGAAAAAGATCAAATTACATATTACATAATCTAGTTAACTGATTTTATTTTTTACAATTTAATTGTATAGAGGAATTAGCAAGTTAATTTATTCGACGCATATTTAAATGAATGCACACCTTACTTATATATACCATCATACTTTTATGTAATAAATGGATATATTCATTGAATATGTAAAGTATTTTTATTGATTTTCAATGGTTGAGATCATGAGTCAGTCGAAGCTAGACCACCATGGAGAACCTTGGAAGCACTGGACGGCCATTTCGTCCTATTGTGGGGCTCCTCAGAAGTGCGCATCCACGATCCCGCCCCCCGCGAGATTCGAACCCAGGACCAATCAGTCTCGCGTTCGAGCGCTTAATCACCAGACCACTGAGCTGTTCGGCATCCAACGGTGTTAATGTCTAACTTCAACCAACCCATGACATTGAGCGACACATCCAGCAATGTCTTCAGTGAGTTACTATCTCACAACAGACCCGGTTGAACTTCACTGGCCACTGCTTCTCACTAGAACTCCAGGAAATACCTCTTGAAGCCAGACATTAGTCAGCATATGTTGATTACTTTCAGAAGGGTTTTGTGGATATCATAGTAATTTCAATGGTTGAGGTCATGATTCGATTGCATCCAGACCAACTTTCATATTACAATAAAGACTTAAGAAGGATATTAATTTTAAATTCTCTTCTGAATAATAATTCTAATAATTTAAATACTATGAACTGAAGTTTTGAAAAACTTGAAACGGCATTTCTTATTGACTGGTAAACAGTTTCGATTGATATTTTCAACTCGATAAAGTAGTTTTTTCCATGATATATAAGTCACTTGCTTTTTTTACAGTTCACATAATGAACTGGTCTCAGTTGGATAACTATTGAAAACTAAGAAGCACTGGACAGTTATTTTGTCGTATTATACTATTCCACACCACTGTACCTCCAAAACTACACCGATAATCAAACATACAACCTTTCAATACTACAGTAAGCACGTAACCTCTAGACTACTGAGTTAGCAGCCAGTAGTTTATATTACTAGCATCAACCAATTCGCTAAATTGTGCAACTATCTTCCAAGGCCTCATACTCGATATGATTAAACTCCACTGGTCGTAGTAGACCGCTGACGTGTACTGTTGGGTAGTTTTAGATGAAAGAGCTGCTTGATGTTTTCTAGTTTTCTATGACTTGTTATTCTAAAATCAGTCCGTGAAATAAATTATGAAAATTCAACAGTCTCCACAAAATCCCCATATTTTTATTCGTCTTTTCAAACTTATAAAAATAGCTTCCAAACCTTGTAGCAATAAAACAAAAGACAATGGTGTACGGTGGCACAACATCGTGGATTGGTTGAAGTTACACATTAACACCATTGGATGCCGAACAACTCAGTGATCTAATGGTTAAGCGCCTGGCGCGAGACTGACAGGTTCTGGGTTCGAATTTCGTGGAGGGCGGGATCGTGGTGCGCACTGCTGAGGAGTCCCATACTAGGATGAAACGGCCGTCCAGCGCTTCCAGGTTTTCCATGATGGTCTAGCTTCAATTGACTCATGATTTCAACCAGTGAAAACAAAAGAGAATAAATTTTAATATCTCTTGTCAACAATCATTATAATGAGGATACTGACAAAAAATTCTTACTTCATTTATCCTATATACAAAAGTTGTAATGGACACTAGTCACAAGATTGTTTGTAAGAAGTGTTTAGTAGAACGTGACATCGAATTTGTTATAATTGTCAGACAGAATGATGAGTTCCAGTGCATTGAATGCACGGGGTTGGCTGAACACTTGGAGACTAAACGACAAGACCCTTCAGATGGTAGAACGCATCGAAAGATGCAAATGGATGATTAGAGGTTATGTATTAAATTTTATATAAATACTTTGTAACTTCTCATAGTAAATACTTATCTCCTGTTTGTTGTCATGTTTCACCAAATCAATAAAATAAATGCGGTTAATTTTATTTTAATAAATTTAATGCATAATATGATGAACTTACTTTAATCAATTCAGTATTGATCTGGCCTTGTTTAAATTCTGACTCATTTAAAATACTTTCTGAAGTATTCCGTTTAGATGTTAATGATACAACTTCATGTGGATAAATAACTGGCAGAAAAGGGGATAATACTGGTGATTGATTTGTTAGTTTTGTTTCTAATCTAATTGTTTCATTATTTTGATTATGTAATACTTCATCCTTCAGTGTTTGTTCTAGGTCTTGTTGTTGTTGTTGTGGTGGTGGTGGTGGTTCTTCATTTTCTTCCTCTTCTGTTCCTCTTGTTGAGTTTTGTTTACTTCTAAATTTGCTAGAATGTTTTCGATAAAATTTCAACTTTGCTTCTTTTCATTTCGACTTCGTCTGGCTAATTTTCTTGATTCTTTGTATAAACGATTCATTTTAATTGCAGCCTTGATAATAATAATAATAATAAAAATAGTAAATAGTAGAATTATATTTTACTACCAAAGTTTCCAATATAATTTCTAAATAATAATTTAATAGATTATCAGTGTTTTCTAGCTGTTGGAAATTCTATTATAAACCCGTTGTCAATATGGATATATCAATATACGTAATAATGTGGTAAATAATTGTATCTCCGGCGTTTCGTGACTTGATGTAGGCCACTTCTTCGGCTGTTTCTTCATAATTTGGGACTCATCAGCAGTGTTCAACAACTATCAAGTTCAAAATGAGTGTTTTATACTTTAAGTCTTACAATAAATGATGTATCGTTCAGGTTGTGAATATTCATTTACCAGTTCAGAAAGTTGAGTTTATTTTATACCATGGAGAGCAATATTCATTCGCTTTCATAATTGGATAAATGTCTAGCTTTGTTAAAAACACTGATTATGGTTTCTCACTGTAATCTTGAAAACTCTATATCCAAACCATTTACCTTTTTCCACTTAGAAATTTTATTCGATCTTGTTGAAGCTGTTGTTATGCTCTGCTTATGATCTGAAACTCGGGTGTAGTGAATGTTCAATACTTTATTCGGAACCGGGTGTTGGTAGAAATACCTACACCTGGAAATTCCAACAAAGTATAAAGTCAATGATGTTAAAAAGTTCCTGCATCCTATCATCTCTTATTCCTGGTAATGCTTTAAGCTTCATTATCATGTTTTGCTGAATGAAGATAAACTATGAATTCCTCTCTGAAGGAGTGACCTTCCCTATGTTACGAAACATCTAAAATACAATTTTTCTACTCACTGAAATACAATAAGAAATATATTTATCATTAACTTTCTACCAAATGCTCAGTTTATTTGAAACTACCAACTTTAACCTTAACACTGATACCTAAAAAATACTGTAATATGATTAAATGTAATGAAATAGATCTAGGCTAACAGTATAGGCTTTGAAATTTTTTCTAATAAACTTACATGGTATACTTAGAATAAGTATTACAATGAAACCGATTTTTATTACAGGCGGACTTCAATTATAGAGGTATTGAAAATTAAATAAAAATTTGATAACCGGTTAAATAAGAGAAGGGTTTTGTGGAGATTGCAGTAATTTAACAATTGAATTCATGAGTCAATTGAAGCTAGATCACCACGAAAAACCTAGAAGCACTGGGCGGCCGTTTCATCCTAGTATGGGACTCAGCTGTACACATCTACGATCCCGCCCCGTGAGATTCGAATCCAGAACTAATCAGTCCCGTGCGCGAGCACTTAACCATTAGATCACTGAGCTGTTCGGCATCCAACGGTGTTAATGTGTAACTTCAACCAATCCACGAAGTTGTGCCACCGTATACCATTGTCTTCAGTGAGCTGTTATCTCACAACAGATCTGGTTGAACTCCACTGGTAATCTTGATTGGATAATTTAGAAATTTTTTTATTTTGGTATTAATATGATTCATCAATTCCAATAATCTAATCTATTTCATAATTAATTTTATTGATTATTGATTTTTTTTTCTATTTTAATTGACATAATCGATAATGGTAGGTGAATTTAATTTAATTTTTTTTCTATTATGATAAGTAAAAGGATAGAAAAGATTAAAATTTCCTTAAACTATTCAAATCACAACGTGGTTTGCTTCAACCTAAAATGATCCATTTATTTTCAATTAATAACAAAGGGGTTTTATGGATCTTATTGGTAATTTTAATAGATGAAATCATGAAGCTAGACCATCATGGAAAACCTGGAAGTACTGGACGGCCTTTTTATCCTAGTACGGGACTCCTCAGCAGTGCGCATGCACGATCCCGCTCTCCACGAAATTCGAACCCAGAACCTGTCAGTCCCGCGCCAGGCGCTTAAACATTAGATCACTGAGCTGTTCGGCATCCAACGGTGTTAATGTCTAACTTCAACCAATCCACGATGTTGCGCTACCGTACACCATTGTCTTCAGTGAGTTGATATCTCACAACCGACCGGGCCCTGGGTTCGACTCTCGCCGGGGGCGGGACCGTGGATGCGCACGGCTGAGGGTTCCCATATTAGGACGGAACGGCCGTCCAGTGTTTCCAGGTATTCCATGGTGGTCTAGCTTCAATTGGCTCGTGATTTCAACCAGTGAAATTTCTAAAATCTCCACAAAACCCGTTCTGAAAATTTTATCACATTCAGTAAGTAGACAGTTGAAAATGTAAATTTTTAACTTGACCTACAGTTCGATAAAACGTATTTCAATGTTCTCTGATTTCAGTAGTTCTATAAAATGTACCAGGTCATGGAAAAATATTCATTTGAATACAATTTTACCTTTAATTGCATCACCGTACAATAGCGTCTGGATAATTCTAAGGATACATTGTAGAAGTTTTACAACACTGATATTGAATGAAGAGAACAAAGACGTTATGGTTACACAATAGTGACTCTTTTACGAGGTAATAATACATTAAGAAAAAATGATTTTCTTTTTAGAAAGTAGCATGTTTAATTTAAACTATAACACCATTTCTTTGAAGATGTATTTTGTCCGGCTTTTTTTCACTAGTTATTAAAAATGTCTGGTAGTAGACACGCTTTAATCAGTGATCAACCAATTCATACACAGTAATACCGTGATATTATTTAACTTATGACTGTTAATAGAGCAGCTGTACAAAACATTTTGGATTTTCTATTATTACTTCAGATTATATTAGTCAGTAGTAGGAATTACTTTTTTTCTAAGTGTGATTTAAATTATTTTAATTCGAACAGATGCAATCTGATTTTAAATAAATGTCTTTATCATTCTATCAAGTAAGAATATCAAATGCTATTTCAAACCCATTCATTACGCCCAGAATATTCATAATCTTACTTGGTTTGAAAGTCCTGGGTCGAAGGGATTCTATTCGTTGTAATGGAGTGTATCGACACACATGGTGAGAACTAAGCTAGGATTAAATAATTCTTAATCTCAGTCAGTCAGTAACAACGTAGAACTTCGTACGTATGTACATCAGTTCGAGTTGCCATAACACAGTAGCACAGAGATGCAGTTAACGATTCAAATCCCATAGTGGTAGAGGTAGTAAAACTATAAGCAGCAATCGGAAAGATTAGGGTTTGGAGATGTTATTTAAAGAGTATGATACAGTGAAATAAATTTGGAAAGAGGAAAGAAAAGGGACATAAAGAATACAAAAGATTAGAATTTGGGAGAACACAAAGAGTGGATGCACCTGCGCCATTGCAAACGATTTTGAGCCATTTCATTCAGGGTCTCTAACCATCGGTTGCTATCATCTCGCGGTCCCCAACCAGGTAGTCTACACCTATCAACATGGATCAAACTACTTGTCAGTGACTTCATGGACTTGTGGTATGTTTTGGTCTGGCCGCCCCTAGCTTTCTTCCAACCTACTCCTACACCATAAAACATCGTACGTCGAGGCAGTCGGTGGTTGGGCATACGTAACTCGTGTCCCAGCCATCTCAACTGATGAAGTTTCACTACGTCATCAATTAATTTGCCATCCTTACCTAGTACCCGTTTCCTAACAACTGCATTACTTACTCGGTGGTACCAGGATATACGAGCAATATTTCGAAGACACCTATGATCAAATACTAGTAACCTACGGATATCCTCTACTCTTACCGGCCATGTTTCACTGCCATAAAGTAGGATGGAACGAACTGCTGCACAGTAAACACGTCCTTTGGTTGATAGACCAATGTTTCTCTCATTGATACAAATCGTTGATGGAAATGACCCATAATTGTTATTTATAGTTTAAATAGTGTAATGAAATGATTAATTATATATTCTTTCATAACTTCATCAGTCATAGTATTTATTTAACACCATTTTATTCGTTCATATATTAAATAAAAAGATTTCAAATTACTGCTTTTGTCTAATTCAGCATTTCATTATCGTGTCTAGTATATGCTGTCTACTATCATTTCAAGTCCTAATCTCTGTATGAAATGAATATTGAAACGATAGAGAAGATTTCACAGCTCAGATGAATGATTTTTGTGTTATTTTCTCCGAAATAGACAATTTAATTGAGGAAATCAAATTATCGTTCTGAGCAATATCATCCTCGTTCATTTCGTGCAGACGATGTTGCTCAGAATGAAAACGTAAACTATCTAACTTAGAGCTTAAAACAGCATTTAAAAAATGGACGCTGTTGTACGAGAAAATAGGTCAAAAAGAACTGAAATCAGATGGTTTTCGACAAACTATCTTCCCTCATATTCCAAAACTTATAAAAAATTTTTATAATTTTGTTAAACAGTCGAGACTCATGAATTCAATCTGTCTTGCAAGCAACGTTTGATGTATACCTAATTGATTTTTGATGAGTAAACTTGTGAAAGTTTCAATGTGGAAATCAGTTAATATCGATAATTCTGGAACGTTCACATTTACCATGACGCTATCGATGATTATATTAAATAATATTCAAATAACATTCTTGCTTACTTATGAAGCGAGAGTAGTAAATGGCCTATATTATGAAAAAACGATAAATTTTTCGTTTATTCTTATAGACATAGTCAAATTCATTAATAGACTAAATGATTAGTCGTCAAAAATATGCTGGACTGAATATTTGTATTCTTCACTATCGTGACTTCATCGAAGTACATGGTTAAGGTGATTACGGGATTAATTAATGTTTACTAATATCAAGTCTTCACTGGGAACGGTAACTGCTGACGCTTTCTTTCCAATTCAGTTTTTCACAAGACCTTTATCCGTTTACGGATTAGTTTCCACTACATTTAGTTCCCTAATATCCCCTATGGTTCAAGGTCATACTTATGTTACTATACATACTGGGTTGTACCATTTCAGGTTGTAATACTTGAATATTGAATTTTTCCTACTGTTAAGTTTGTCTTACATTGTTCTTGTCACTCCATTTCCACTCTTTTGTATGTTGTTTTCTACTACTTATTTACATTCAGTAAGCAGTTGTATTCCCAACAATTTTTAAACCCATGTTGTGACGCAAGTTGTACTGTAATATTCTGAAATGTTCACATATATTTATTACGTTTATTATACCTATCATTGTATTTATCACTTTAATTACCGTACCTTAATCACTGCAGATGTTATCCACAGTTTCGCGCATTTGTTTAAACGCAACAGTTTCCATATTGCTTTGCTCTTGGTTCGGGTTTCCTTTGTTCATAAACCGTTGTCAAATATAGACACAGCTATCAGCTGTCGTTTGTACTATCAAAACCTTTTTTACTTTTATACTTGAAGGACGCATTTAAACGCCCCAGACATCTCACAATTTGATGTTTGTAACTAAAAATTGTATATTATTCAATAAAGAACCGCTATTGTAGACAAATCGTTGTTTCGGAAACTTCGGTTTTGCGCGTATCTCAATTGGGTGACCTAGACGCTTCGATAGATCTAACACCCACACCTAATATTCTTCCTAATTTTACGGATAATTGCTGAGTTGTGTGTCAAGTATCATTATCAAGTTTACGATATAATCGTTCGTATCAGAATAATCCAATCACTCCTTAATTCACAAGTATAGTAGGAACACCGTAAACTTAAATATCTATTCATTTTAAGAAGATTTCACATACAGACATCGCACGAATCTGATACTGGTTCAATGTCTACCAAATGCAAGTTTGATGTCAGTTAATATATCCTTTAATTATGACTTAATAATTTCTGGATACATTTTTCTCAAAATTGATATTAGAACCTATTACTTGTGAAGATATGGGTATGGATCCCATTAAAGTTGAAAACACGAACCATGTAGATTTGATCGGAAATACTATGGTCACTGCAATGCTTTAAGCTTATGATAATTTTTAATTGTGATGTTTTATGATAGATATGTATCTCTGATAATTTATCATCTAGATGTCATGTGCTCTTCAATTTCTAAAAATTCTCTACCTAAAATGAGTTCCTAGTGAGAGTTATTTTAAAATGATATAGAAAAGACCTATAATTCAGGTGAATGTTTTCAGTTATGCTAAGTTCACAAATCTATATGGTTTCGTTACACTTCTAGACAACAATGTCAGAACTAACTTCACATAGAATTGGTCTTTTTGACTAATTCTTAAGCTCTAAATCAGCTTTTCTTGGTGATCTTATCATGGAATGGTTATATTCGGAGGTGTCTTCAACTTTATTTGTCTTTACATTTACGTTTATCTTTTTTTTTTAGTTGACCTTTGGTTACATGATTGATTGATTTCTTCCATACAGATTAGTAACTATAGTTTATACTAATATGACTACTGGTTACAAATTGATCTAAATTCCATACTTTCAAACATTTTCTGGTATTCTTTGAATTTTCCTTGATTTGAAATTCATGTCTGTGGTCACCTTTATGCATATGATCTGAGCAATAACATGTTATGTTGCCTTGTAGCTAGTCTATGTTCTTGTATACATAGATGATGGGACATCCACCTTGTTCAATACAACGTTTTCTGCAATTAGTGTAATTCCTTTTGTAGATGATATCTTTATTTGATATTGAACATTGAAAGGATGTTGTATTTTTATTTTATACTCATTGGACATAACATCACTTTAATAGTAAGAGTAATAACATCAGTAATTATCATCATGACATTGTTTCTTTCTCTTTGAACATTAAATGACAACAAACATATTAGGTTTATTGAATACACTCCCTATATTCGTGAACAGCTTAGTAATGTTGCTGATTACATAACCCTTAGTAGTGAGTGGATGGTAGCGATTTATGAAATTTTTGTTCAGTCTTACTTTGTAATAAATAGTCACATTTCTGCTAACAGTCGTGTTAACGTACTGATTAATGCAATTTTAAGTCCAAAATTTAAATGTAAGCCCTGTAGGTCTTTTAGTTTGATCTCTAAAGGAGTCGTTAAGGCATACTAACTAAGTACTATATACGAAAAAAAAACTGTTGAATGCTTCTTCATACAACTGGTGATGATAAACATTATCAAAAGCTAATGAATTCAAAGTCACCCAACAATTAATCTTACTACATTAAAGTTGCGTTCTTTCCTGTATTAAATATCATCCACAAATTATTGATTTTTTCATGAGAGTACATCTAGGTGACCTTGAAAAATTGTTTTTTTGCTGTTTCACATTATTTAATTATGAGCTTATTTCATTTTATAACGATAGTTCATAGCATTAATAAAGACTTTATTGATGTAGACAAAATGTCCTTATTAAGGTCAAAACAGTTTGTTTGATCAGCTGATCCAGAGATGGAGATCGAACAATAAAATTTCATATCACTCAAACTTTTAATGATAAAAATGATCTCGAAGAAATAAATTAAAATTCAAACGAAGCTTCATGTCATCACAAATGTACTAAAAAAAACTAAAATGGATAGAATTTAAGTTCATCCACCATAATGTGATTGGATAATTCGACTAGAAATCTATCTTATCTATATAAAATTCTACTGTTCTATGATCCATATTAATGTTTGATTAAATGACAAACTGTTTAAACTTATTTCCGTATCTTGTTAAACGAGAACATCTTGAGTTATCACTCACTATCTGAAATGAAGTTACGTACTGAGTCAGTAGAGCAGGTAAGAGCATTATTCATGGAAGACTTATCATAATACCATTGAATTTGATTGGTTGTTGCTTTCTAAGAATTTGATTGGTGGATTATAATCAAAGCTGGTTGAAATTTTGTATGAATTATTAATTGATTTTCTATTAATTTTCACTATCTGATTGTTATCAGAATGGGTTTTGTGGTGATTTTTTAGAAATTTCACTGGTTGAAATCATGAGTCAATTGAAGCTAGACCACCATGGAAAACCTGGAAGCACTGGACGGCCGTTTCGTCCCAGTATGGGACTCCTCAGCAATTCGCATCCACGATCCCTCACCCTGCGAAATTCGAACCCAGGACCTATCAGTCTCATACTAGGACGAAACGGCCGTCCAGTGCTTCCAGGTTTTTCATGGTGGTCTAGCTTCATTTGACTCATGATTTCAACCTATCTGATTGTTATTTAGTTTGTACTTTTTCAAACACGACCATTTTAATTGGGGAAATATTCAAGCTAAATAAAAAAAATTTCTAATATTTAAGTTAAAATTATAGTCAAAAGTATGTATTTGTAATTTAGAAAACAACAGTCTTTCATGTCATTCCATTATTTATGAAAACTTCTTTTAAAGATACATCCTGAGAATATTTTCACTTTATAAAGTCAGTTTTGTAGACAAGAGTGAATTAAATCACTTTTGACACAGGATCCTTGTTTATTCAATGAAGTGATGTAAAATGACAACCAATTCATTGTTTATTTTTATGATCAGTTAAATAGTTTGTTAAGATAGCTCTTCTAAAAATGATACGATTCTAATCAACCTTTAGGAGTCTTCATCAATAAAAACCTTTGAATCTTTTAAGTGACACTTACTATGTTTAAAAGTACTGGTCTAGATTTTCAACTTCAATGGACTCCCGATATAGAGTAAACATCATTTACGATCAGCAGTAGGTATGTAACCTAATCGTTAACTTGGTAATGTTTTCCCATACGCATAAACTGATATACATTAATAATAGTGATAGAATTATATTTTTGTAAAATTTGTAAATAATATTAAGAAAATAATATTGATCATGAAATAAATTTGATCGCTGAAAAATTCCCATTATATTTTGTTTTAAATAAATTTGACTGAGAAACAATTAAAAACAATAAAGAACTGTGATGTGAACAGAGAAACAAGAAGCCTTGTGTTGGGATATTCAGGAAAATATCCCAGAAATTATTCTATTAAGTCTAATATTATTCTTGGACTTGAAGATGGTATTATTTACTTATTGGTCAGTACTTATTTTACATGTCATTTTCCTACTGGTTAATATTGTATAATGTTATTTCCTATTTTATCGTACGATGTGGTCTGCTTGACTGGTATATAAACAAAGTATGTTTGAAATATAATAATTCATAACCCAGAGGCTGTGACTTGTGTTCTGGACTCAACTGGCTGGGTTAGATAGGGAGGCGAGACCGATCAGAACCCTAGGCTGTTCTACGTGTTTGTGCGTCTTTGGTCCGATCAATAATTCGCTACCCTTAATCAGCAGCATCATTTTCACGTTATAACACCTTGACAAACTACGGGAGCTATTTTTGGGGACGTTATTTCATTTCATTCAAAGCTTGTAAAATATTAATATTTATTTTTGTCTCTAATCTATTCCACAGAACATAAGCTTTCGTTTGATGTATGATTCACTACTATAGCCCTTTTTGTTCCAAAGCTATTGTAATTTAGACGTATTATTTTGTACTCTATTTTCTGCGGTAATCTCCAGTTTTGGACATATTTGTATTTTCCTAATTATTGTACGTTGTGGTCGAGTTAGTTATCCATGAATTCATGTTTCTTTTCACACTGATCTGAAATCGGGAACCAGATCGGAATTGAGAATAAAATCGAGTAGTGTTCCAGTTGACTTGTCTTCTCTCACTTGCGTGTTTGTCAGACAATCAAGTGATAGGATAATTTTCTTCTCTCTACCCCACTTCGAGCTCACGCATACTAGCCCCAAGGTTAAGCCTGTCAGCCTATCGCGTCAAGGTCTTAATCTAGATTAGACAAGTATCCCCAGCACCAAAATTGGGTAGACAGATCAAGGATGTAACATACTGAATAACTCTTTCTTTGTAGTATGTCAATACTTAGCAGTTTACTATCGAGTAAGGGTATGTTCAATTAAAGAGACGAGAATAAGAAATGAACTAACTATCAGATATTCAAATGATCAGTAATCAATAATTACTTCAATGGCTGTCACATGTCTTGAATATACTGATTTCAAACAGTGATTAGTTTGTGAACCAGGATTGCAAAGGAAGTTCATACTTGGAAGAAATAGCTTTCTAGCACCTTCTGGTTTCCAAATTCACTAATATCTACAACACCCTATAATATCAATATTATTTAGCGGTCTCATAAAACTGTTTACAATTACACTGTTTATGTTATACAATCAAAATAAATATCATCATGAAAATTTGATAACCGGTAAAAGTAAATATTGTAATCAGTTAAATTCATTGCTTCACTTACCTCTTCTTGTATTCGATCAATTTTATTAAGATTTTGTTTCAAACCGACATAATAACGCCTCATTTCTCGTTTAAAATCAGTTTCAATACAAGAATTTTTCCCAGTTACATGTGTGCTATTCTCACTTCTTTTCATTTTGTTTACATTGTGATTCTGTATTCTTGTCCAATATCTAATTTCATAATTTGCATCAATGGCATTTTTATTTTCATAATTTCCAACATTTATACTCTCTTGTTTCAATGATTTTTCTGATGTACCACTGGTCATTTTGTGTGAAATAGAAAAAAAACTGCTAGTTATCACAATTTAAACTATTCAGCTCTTTTATCCAAATAATACCTTATCACGTGTGTTTTGTTTAAAATACCCAGTGACTTGATAAACAAAGTACTATTATCATATATATTCTACATATTGTATGAGCTTAAATAAAACACCGAAAAAAACTTTGTCAAAAAAGATAATCTACTTATGAGTAGTTAATCGCATTACACTTAACATTAGTAGCATTAGTTGGAATTCTAAGAGATGAGATTGAGATGGCATTATTATAGTTATATTTTTATTATTCCCTCCCAATGATGCCCCTCAGTGTTCTTGTTGAAATTAAAATGTATTTCGATACAAAAAGCATTTAAAATCCTCTTAAACTCTTTTTTTACTTGTCTTCAATTCTTGTAATCTATTATTTGTCGTCAGCCTCTTATTTTATATACTGATTACCGTGCATTGGTTATTTCTAATTGAGTTTGAGATAGCGGGAATATTCGTAGTACATTAGAAAGAATTAAGTTGCTTTGTACTTTGCGCTAAATGATCTAACCATAAAGCCTTGATTGTTTTTTTCATGTAATATCTTCTGAAAAGACTTCTCGTGATTTTAAGAAGAGATGATGATCACTTACTGCCGTTTCATAATGTGTCATTACAACACCTTTAAAGACAGTGATGGATTCATGATTAAACATTCTAGTAAGACCACAAAACTTGTTTTTTATGATACAAATCCTTATATATGCTCTCCATAGATTTACCATGAACTGGGGATCAAAATTCTTCGTAATGACTTTGCTTCTCCCTTACTTTTTGATATGGTCATTTATTCTTTTACAAGATCGCAGTGAGATTATATTTTTTTAATGAACTTTTTCATATTCCTATCTTTTAAGAGAGAGCAAAGTTCTTTATAAAAATCAACAAGTCTTTTCTTTTTGTGTTACTTAGGTTGAATCATGAACGTCTTTAATTTTGTAATTGTATACAATTTTCATACATATACTAGGAGTGCAAAATATCTGAATCAACACTTCTTAAATGCAGAATATTTCACTCATCTTATTTAAAGAACAGAGAAATAATGAAATGTTGTAACTATCAATTCTTAATATTTATTGCTATCTTTTCATTTGCCATATGTTAGATCTATCGAAGCGTCCAAATCACCCGATCGAGATACGCGCAAAGCGGAAGTTTCCGAAACAACGATTTGTCTACAATAGCGGTTATTTATTAAATAATACACAATATTTAGTTACAAACCTCAACTTGTGAGGTGTCTGGGGCATTTAAACGCGTCCTTCAAGCATGAAAATAAAAAGGCTTCCTGTAACAGTAACATAAAGAATAATTATAACATACGATAGTACAAAAGACAGCCGATAGCTGTGTCTAAATTTGATAACAGTTTACAAACAACCAAACCCAAACCAAGAGCAAAACAATATGGAAACTGTTGCGTTTAAACAAATGCGCGAAACTGTGGATAACATCTGCAGTGATTAAGGTACGGTAATTAAAGTGATAAATACAATGATAGGTATAATAAACGTAATAAATATATGTGAACATTTCAGAATATTACAGTACAACTTGCGTCATAACATGGGTTTAAAAATTGTTGGGAATACAACTGCTTACTGAATGTAAATAAGTAGTAGAAAACAACATACAAAAGAGTGGAAATGGAGTGACAAGAACAATGTAATACAAACTTAACACCATCTTATTCCTTTCATCTTACTTTTTACTGTAAGACAACATCATTTTGAATTTCCCTACAATTAATCTACTGTATTACTTTATTAGATTCATTCTTCTTGAGTCATATTTTGACCTTGTTAATTATTCGCTTATCAATTTCGACTGTTTTTATGTGAGCGTATGCGTGTGTTCTTCTTATCCTATTTATCACATGTTTGTAACTTATTTGTATCTGGCTATAAATATTGACCAACGCTTAATTAAATGGAGTTGTCTCACACGCCTTCTTCAGTGCGTGTTATTTCGCTTCTATTTCTTCTCTTGACTTTTCCGATCTTTTGTATGAATCAACGATAATGTGAAATATACATATTCAAAATTCACTCTCGTGGATCAAGTCATTAATTATATACGAGGATAGAGGACATGTGTACTTCAATAATATTTATACGATCTAATTGGAGTCAGATATAGGGCCACTAAAACAGTTTTGCATTTAAATGACCATTCATTAGCCTGAACATTAAAAGTATTTTTGATTATTATGATCCTTGAGAAAACTCTCTTTTTCCGTTATTCAATCAAATCTTGAATATATTTGTGACAAATTATTTATAGAGAATAATTGACAATATATAATCAGTTCAAATAACTGTGTTCATGTTTAATATAGATAACCTTGTAAAGATAAGTTTTATTTAGTTAATTCACTATATTTTCCTTAACAATATAATTGACATTACTGTAAGTAACATTGAACTGCTACAACCATCATCAAGAAGGTACAAGTATTTACAAATAGTTGTCTACGCAAGATACTCATCATCCATTGGTCGGATACCATCAGCAACAGCCTACTGTAGGAGAGAACAGATCAGATCCCAGCTGAAGAGGAAATTAGGAAAAGACGATGAAAATGGATAGGTCATACACTGCGAAAATCACAACACTGTATCACGACACTAACCCTTATTTGGAATCCTGAGGGGAAATGGAAAAGTGTAAGGTCAAAGAACACATTACGTCGGGAAATAGGATCAGATATGAAAAGGATGAATAGCAACTGGAAAGAGCTAGAGAGGGTTGTCCAGGATAGAGTTGGATGGAGAGTACTGGTGGGTGGCTTATGCTCCTTCATGAGGAGTAACAGGCGTAAGTAAGTAACATTAGAAAGAAAAAAGTAATGTGGATAAAAATGGTTAAATCTACTTTTGCTTAAGCTGGGCACTGTTTATTTGAGAAATTTTTACTGTTTTGGATAACATAATCATTGCTTACTTCAAGTAGAAATAAATTATCCTGTTCAAAATATTTCATTATTATCAAACAAGAATATGGATAGAAATCTGTCACAATACAATGATGTATAGGTTGAAATGGAATTATTAACAGCTACTTATTCTCTTAACTCATGAGATAAGTGCGGTAATTTTAACTGAAATGTTTGTATTATGGTTCAATAGTTTACTGCTTGCACCTTAGTTGATCCGTAAAATATATTAAAGTATATAAAAGAAAACAGTTAATAGCTGTAGGACTAAGCTATGACTAAAGTATTAAAATTACGTAATTTATCTTCTTTTGTCAACTGTTTATTTAATCAGTATGAGGTTGTGGAAATTGTTGAATTTCATGGAAATTATGAACTGACCTATGTTAGATCACTTTTGAGAATGTAATAACATTGAACAGCTGTTAATTACTGAAGATAATAGAAGATGGTCGCACAAATTCGTAAATTAATTCAAATTAGACGTTTATTAGTTCTACAATATAATTATAATATAGAGATAAGCTAATCAAGCCAAAACAATAGGGTTCATTTTTTGAGGGAAATTTAAAAGGGGATGAGATTTATTTTGTATATTAGTATAAGTGTCTTTATTATAGTCCTTACAAAATTCATTTCTACCACCATAGAATGATAGTAATGGTGTACAGCACACATGAAATAGAAAACTTACCTCTTTTTATGTAAATTATATATAACACATAAATTAATCAATCAGTTCATCTCTAATTTATTCAGTTCGTAGTAAACCCTTGGAGATATTACTTCTTTTTTAATGAATAATTTACAGAAAAGAAAAATAAGCTATTAACTTCAGTCAGTCAGTAACAACGTAGAACTTCGTAAGGACTTACATCAGTTCGAGTTGCCATAACACATTAGCACAGAGATGCAGTTAACAATTCAAATCCCATAGTGATAGAGGTAGTAAAACTATAAGCAGTAATCGGAAAGATTAGGGTTTGAAGATGTTATTCAATGAGTATAATCCAGTGAAATAAATTTGGAAAGAGAGAAAACGAGAGAGATAACAACAACAACAACAACTCATAATTGTTGATTATGTAATTAGTTTATTCATTAAAAATTTACCGGTCATAATAAAATAAGAAATTTCATTTGAAATCATTAGAAAATTAGATATATTCTCAATATTCATCTTTTGATTCTTACCTAACTATTATACTACTGACTATTCATCAAAATATTTTATTAGTTCATTAATCTTTTATTATAGATTATGCAATATAGCACATGTTTGAGTTTTGAATAATTACTTTGATTAAATAATTGAATTTATGAGTCAATTAAAATTAAATCCCGTAGGGCGGGATCGTAGATGCAAATGATTGAGGAGTCCCATACTAGGACGAAATAATCATCTAATACTTTCAGATTTTCCAATAGTGATCTAGTTTTAATTGCCTCATGAATTCAATTATTAAATTATAAAAGAGAAAATCTCCACAAAACCTCCTTCTAATAATTACTTTGATTATTATTATTAATCCTCTTTCTTCCAATTACTTAATATTAGTTTATAATTGATATGTCATTATATAATTATTAGATAAATTAAATTATTCTTTTATCATCATATTGCTTCATAGTGAATTATTCTCAATTCTCTTGTTTCATTATATTCTATAAACGATTCATAGGATATATATGTATAATAAACAATAAACTGTATTTTCGATTATCAATTCACTAATCATAGTATGGTGCGTGTTACTTATATTGATATAAGTAGTATATAGCGCGAGTCAGGAATGTAATGTCAGGCAGCAGAAGATTAGGAAGATCAAGAAAGGAAGAGAGGGAATAGAAAGCAATTAGTATGGAAATGCAAGAACAATGAAGTCGAGACAATTATTGAACATTTTGCAAATTAAGTATTATAGTATGATTTTTTCTATTTTATCAAGTAACTCTGTAATTTTGTTCTAACTACAATTCGATTGTTCCCACTCGTGTTCTGTTCACTACAATAGCTATTAGTTATAATTATATATCTGATAATCAATGTAATTGTTTGACCTCTTTACTTGCTACGTTTAAGTGATTTGAATAATTTTTTCTGGCCAGCGTTTTTATTTTAACGAGTTAGTTTTCTACGAGATAGGGTTACTAACCCCATGCCCAACCCTGCTCCTTTATCCGGGCTTAGGATTAGCAGTAGTCCCAGAGGGGTTTTAGGCGGAGTTATTATTTTCTCTTTAAGAATAAATAAATAAACAAAGCAACACAAAATATTTTTTCAACGGTATAATAAAATGTAATTGAAATAAAATTACATTAATATTACAATGAATATACTACTCATCTGAATCCATGTTAACCTTTTTTTGTTTGTCACTTTTTTAGAAAGAAAAATATACCCATTGAATCATCATATAGTATTTCACGCACATATATATATATATATATATCGTTTTGCATTATTTGATAATTGTTTATGAGTTAAGTGTTGTTTCTACCATTGGTTTCGTTGAAAATGACGATGATAATGATGTTGTCTCTGGTATGATAGTAACTAGAGATGTTGTTGGTTTTGTTAATTCTTTTTTTTCTACTGATATATTATTCATAATTGATTGTGACTGCTGTGAATTTTTAACATTTTCTGCTGATTCTAATGTAGACATTGAAGTTATTGTTTCTGTTGTCATCGTCATAGGTGATGATGACGATGATGATAATGACATTGTTGTTGTTAATTCTTCATCATGTTCCAATGAATCATCTGTAGAATTTAATGCTTCATGAAGAGCTTCATGAGAAATTACTGTCCAATTAGAATCATCATCATTATTAATACCAGGTACTCGATAATCATAACCATTTGTAGTAGTATTTGAATCATCTATAACATTTTTCAATGGTAAACTAAATGTCATATTAAAAATTATAATAGAAATATATAAACAACTAAATGTATAGTAAAACATATTGAATAGAAAACTAGGATAATTTCATAATCTTACACAGTGATCATTGTTGAATTAAATATCTTATATGACTTTACAAATGATCACGTTTTAATGTAAATATGTGTAATATTGAATGGAACTACCAGCATAAATAAATAGTAATAATAATAATTAAATGTAAGTACGGGAATAATGTGGGTACAATAATTTACTTTACAATGACATTGTATAAACATAAATCTTCATATACGTAAACTTTTATTCCCTTTGATTTATTCATTTTTATTAATAAGGGATAAATATATTGTTTTTTGACCACAGATGCTTTAGAAATATTACTCGCATCTGCTGGGATCACCCGGTAAGTAATAGTGAAGTTAGACGCAGGGTATTAAGGAACGACGGTAAATCAGTTGATGAGGTTGTGAATCTTCATCGACTGAGATGGTTGGGTCACGTGCTACGTATGCCTGAACACTGATTACCATGACGTGCAATGCTAACCGGTGTTGGAGATGGTTGGAAGAAAGTGAGGGGCGGCCAAACCAAAACGTGGCATCATTGCTTGAAGACAATAACTTCTAGTCTGAGCCATGTTGGTAGATGCAGACTAATTGGTTGGGGTCCGCATGACTATCGTAACAAATGGTTGGAGACTCTTGGTAACATGGCTCAGAATCGATCACAATGGCGTCGGTGTACACACTCTCTGTCTTCCCGTAAACTGTGAGATTAAAATCGCTTCATATCTATCTTTCTACGAACTAATTCTTCCTTCCTGTACTATATCCTTATATGAAATCTTCCTTTTTTATGTTACTACCTCTGAATTAACTACTTTTATGAATCCGGTGTTCATCTTGTTGTGTTAATGATGTGGTGCAACTTGGACTGATGCATATATGTGTCTGGTCCTACGTTGTAGCTGACTGACTGAACATATTGTTTAAATATTCTAAATCATTGAGATTAATGTGATGAAATTTTATTATTTAAATATATCTTATTATTACTTTCTAGTTATATAATAACAAATATATTAAATATTCAAGGTTTAATATACCATATTGAATCATTCAACTTGTCATCAAAATAAACAAACAATAATGCACTTAATATCAGATGGGTTTTGTGAATATCATAGTAATTTCAATGGTTAAGATCATGAGCCAGTTGAAGCTAGACCGTTGAATGCTGGCTCAGTGGTCTAGTGGTTAAGTGCTCGCGCACGAAACCAGTGGGTCCTGGGTTCGAATCTCGCAGGGGGGGGCGAGGTCGTGAATGCGCACTTCTGAGGAGTCCCACAATAGGACGAAACGGCCGTCTAATGCTCCCAGGTCTTCCATGGTGGTCTAGCTTCAACTGACACATGATCTTAACCATGGAAATAATGCAATTGTTGTAATTGAAGGTATCAGTATTATCTATGTATGTATGTATACATGTATGATACTGTTCTTTATGTATACATGGACTGAATTGTTGAGAATGTTTAAATCTCTGAAAATAGATTACTTATTGTTTGGTTAGTTTATTTTTTAAAATTAAAATTTGCTTATTTTTGCATCAATACTACTCTTACGTAGCTCATTCTTGATTTTTAACGAGAATGAAGAAGTGTTTTCATTACTAATTTATGTATCTATTACCTCTAAGATCGCTGTAAATGTATGTGTACACAGTAGCTGCTTGTTTAATCTATCATCCTTTGATCATTTGGCAACAAGATTTGCCTCTTAGATTAACCAGAGCTAGGAAGTGGAAGAAGAAGAATCCACGTGAAGTATCCATTGTATCGAGACAGAGATAAAATGCTTCTCTGTGTTATAAACTAGTCGTATTATGTATCTACAAAGTAAGTAATAACTAGACTTCGGTATTTTGTGAGTATTATTTGAAATGTATCATAATTCTGACCAATAATTATAACTTTTGCTAATTCTTAACTTTAATTCTAAGTTAAAGTTGGTTCTCTGAATTTCATCACATCCACAATACTCTATGATTAGTTATAAAATAACACCTATAATTAAAAGAAACACCATTTTGACATCCCATAATGCTTGTACCATTGGAAACTCTTTGATAAACACAGTGTCGAAGGTCAATTATCTTGGTGTCACCTTTTCCTCTGATCTCTCTTGGTCTTTCCACGTTTTATTGTTCTCGAAGAAGGTTTTCTGTCTGACTTACTACATAAGGAGATTGCATGCTCTGGGGATTACTCGTCATTTACTCTTACAATTTGTCAATTCTTGCATATTACCTATTATTACTTACTGTTCTCCATTATTCTTTCCCGGGATTTCGAGAAAAGACTTTGCTGTATTGCGGAGAGTGCTAAAGGCAGTTATCAGGGTGTGTGATCAATCTTTCAAGGTCATAATTAATATGGTTGTGGATTGACATCTAAAATCATGCAAACTCCTGGCAGGTGTTATTTTACAGATATTAACCATCTCCTTCACTTTTATCTTTCCCCTTGTATATCTTCTTGTAGAACGAGACGTAATTACATTAAAGTCCATGCACGCAAGCAAAAGTATAAAAGTTCTCTAATACCTTACATAGCAAATATACTCTGTGACGAACAGGTTGTTATTGTGAACCTAGTCACTAACCTGCATTCTTAACATGTCTCTAATTTGGAAAGTTGTACAGTTTTTCAGATTTTTTAAAAATCTTTTCTTCCCCTTTTTTGTCTTTGTTACTGTTTATTTTTGCGTAAGTAACTTGTTGAAATATCCTGTGTTGAGAATTCTATATTGTGTCAAAATATAATACTGAATAAAGCCATTAATACTACTACTACTACTACTACTACTACTACTACTACTACTACTACTACTACTACTACTACTACTACTACTACTACTACTACTACTAGTAATAATAATAATAATAATAAAGTAAACATAATTGAATTATGGAAGTCATGCAATTCATTTATGTAGTATGATATTGTGAATTTATTGATAATTCCACAATTGTTTGCATTTGTCACCGATTGGCATACTCATGTTGACAAGATTTAACTCGAATGTATGATATATATATATATATATATATATATATATATATCCTCAAAGTATATTAGTTCAACACCACTTAAGTGGCCGTTTATTGTAAGGACCACCTCATGAGTAGGAAAAGAGGATATTATACGTAATAGAATACTGTACTGAACTAAATTTTCATCAAAAATATAATGATTTGCTTAAATGTTAAAACATTCAGATGAAGCGTCCTAAATAGGACGAAACCCACCCTCTGGATCACACTATTTACTAACATCTATCTCTACTTAGATCGTTTTAACTTAATGGCGATGTTGAGGTAATTTGCTCTTAATGTACAGTTTCCAATGGAAATTAATCGAAGCTCCCTCTTTAATACCAACGGGAACGTCCAAACATTGACAAAATGAATATTAAAGAGGATTATACAAAATTTCTCAACAACGAGACATTTAAACACACTTTTATATGTAAAGATCCTTAAGATAAACTTATAATACATTCCTATGGTAATCTGATTAAATTGGATTACTAGTGTTGTTTATAATGTACCTGTACACTAATATTCCTTCATATATCTGATACTTCACCTATACTATAATATGACTCATTTTATTGACCGAACTTAAACAGCAAGTAATATTCCATTATTAAACCGTCTATATTAACTGTTATAAACAAATACTGATTGATTACGACAATAAAATAATGTAGTTGTAATATCCTAATAAATAAAATGCTTGTTTTCTAACGCTTCGGGCCTTAGTGTACTTCATTTCTTCAGAAAATGAATAAGCAATCAAATTAAATTAACATAAGTTTAAATAATACAAAGGAATAAAGCAGGATATTCCATATGAATCAAGCAGATCTGACCACATTAGTACCATATTATTCCAATCAAGTTGATTTCGTACGAGACATATTCGTGCGTATGATAGTTGGTAAGAAGTGTTCCACCCATCTGTTCCTCTGGTCTTGAATCTTAGTGGTTGGCTTGCCTTCTTTGTCTTTGACTGGTCTCTCTGGTTTACTATATTTCCCTACTAGTTTCTTCGTCGTGTCATATATTTGTTTGACATTTCCTTCTGTTGCAGATTTTTTTCGCTGTCGTTGCTAGCTCTTTCACGTATTTCTACTTGTCGGCTCTAATGTTCCTCTTCACTTGCTTTTTTGCTTCAGTACATTCAGTTTTTGCCTTAATATTCTCTGCTCTTGTTCGACTGCAGGTGATTCCCATCGTCTCATTCTTCCTTTCTTGAAATATTTCCGACTTGAAAAACAGGAATTTGATTATGTCTAAATACTGGATCTGAAGAGTAGCGTGAATTGAATTCTGATTTACAACTAGTACCAGACTGCTAATTTTATAGAAGTGGCTAACAATACGACTGAGATGTATGTGATATCGAGGTTAAAAACAATAATTTATCCAGAGGACGGTTCTATTATATATATATATATTATTACGATATTTAGCTGGTATATATAATTCGTAAGGTTTACTAAACCTGTACGTTTTAAGAGGTACACAGGAATTTAAACAAGAGTTAACCATCAGATAGAATTCGTCGATAGCATCCATGAGACTATTACATGAAAAAATTTGTCCCAGTCTGAAAGTTTAATCAGTGAATCCAGGAGGTCCCAGTCAGCATGCTTATAGTCTCTATATTGACAGGTTTTTTAAATGGGTCGGTTATAAGAGGGATAGATAGGGAGAGCGCAAACTACTATCTTATGGTCACTGTTTTCAAATTCATCATATACTTTTACAGATAGTGAGATAACATCTCTACTAAATAGTAGATCGAGTTTAATATCGCCTCTAGTTGGGGGTACAAACCCACTGTGACCATCAGTGCATGTTAATGGTTGCCGAGAACTCATCATTACATGACTGACAACTAATGATTAACAACAATAACAGTGGGAACTAAGAGCTCACAGAAAAGGAAACTTTTGCGCTAAAACCAAAACTCAAGGACTATACAAAAACTGGAAGTGACCATTATGAAGGTTGAGAGGATTTAATTACAATAATAAATACGGCAAATTTTACTGGTTTATGTAAGTAGTTCAAAATA